CTGGCATTCCCTTCCATCAAACCCGGTAATTCCTGACATTCCAGGGCCCCATTCCATGGCAATTCCCAGCTGGCATTCCCTTCCATAAAACCTGGTAAATCCCAAAATTCCAGGGCAATTCCCGGCCCCATTCCATGGGAATTCCCTGCCCCACCCCCCGGAGGATCCATGGCTGGCATTCCCTTCCATAAAACCTGGTAATTCCCGACATTCCAGGGCAATTCCCAGCTGGCATTCCCTTCCATCAAACCTGGTAAATCCCAAAATTCCATGGGAATTCCCGACTGGCATTCCCCTCCATCAAACCCAGTAATTCCCGGCATTCCAGGGCCCCATTCCATGGGAATTCCTGGCTGCCATTCCCTTCCATCAAACCTGGTAAATCCCGACATTCCAGGGCAATTCCTGGCCCCATTCCAGGGGAATTCCTGACCCCATTCCATGGGCTCAATCCAGGTCCCTTTCCATGGGGTCAATCCCTCAGGAACTGCTCCAGGTCCATATTCCATGGGATCAATCCCTCAGGAACTGTTCCAGGTCCTTTTCCATCCTTCGGGAACTGCTCCAACCTGGGTCCCTCCCATGGGGCCCATCCCGGATCCGCCGGAATCGTCTCCACGGATCTGGTGGATCCCTCTGGCAGCTCCTCCCCATTCCCAAATCCCGCCCTCCCAACCCCCAATCCCAATCCCAGCAGGCAAACCGGGATGAGGCAGAATTGTCTCTCTATCCCAACGTTCCCACCTCCCCTTTTCCATGTTTTTCCGTGTTTTCCCAGACACGGATCAGAGCCTGAAGAAGGAAGGGCTCCTGTCCCAGGACGGGAGCAGCCTGGAGGCTCTGCTGAGGACGGACCCTCTGGAAAAACGTTCCCTGCCGGATCCCAGGATGGACGACGACAGCCTGGGCGAGTTCCCCGTCACCAACAGCCGCGCCAGGAAGGTGCCTTTTCCTGGGAATTCCGGGCGGGAAATAATTCCGGGATGAAACACTCGGGTTTTCCAACCCTTCCGGCTCCTCCCCGGCACCGAGGGCTCGGGAAAGGGGAATAAAATCATGGAAAGGGGGAGATCCGGGGGGGAAGATTCGAGGGAAGGGATGTTCTGGAGGTGAAATTTAGGGAGAGGGAATTTTATTGACCTCCCAAAAAAATTTGGGAGAGGGGAGTTTCTGGGATAGAAAAAATCCGAGGGAAAAAATTCGGGGACAGAGGGAGTTTCTGGGTTAAAAAAAAAATCCACGGAAAAAATTTAGGGAAGGGGATCCTGGTCCCAAAATTCAGGAGAGGGGAGTTTCTGGGATAAAAAAAATCTGAGGGAAAATTTCAGGGACAGAGGGAGTTTCTGGTCCCCAAATTCAGTGGGAAAGGGGATCCCAATCCCAAAATTCAGGGAGAGGGAAGTTCTGGTCCCAAAATTCAGTGGGAAGGGGAATCTGGTCCCAAAATTCAGGAGAGGGGAGTTTCTGGGATAAAAAAAAATCCAA